GAGAGAGAGAGAGAGAAAGAAAAAAAAAAAGAGAAGTCCGAATCTGCTTGCAGTCAGCCAGTAAACAGCAGATCGACACGGACTTACTTGTGCAAGGCATGTAAATTCCAAGTTCCAAACCCAAAAACTCTGCAATTAAAAAAACCCCAAAAAAAAGCAAAAGCAGAATACAGAAATGCAAAATACACCAACCTCACGAGCACAAGATCATCCAGCAACAGCCAGATCAAATTCCGCAAGTCAAGATCAACCACAACCACGAACCCGAAAAAGAAAAAGAAAAAAAAAAATCGGAACAGAGCGGGATAAACGTAAGAAGAAGAAGAAAGAAAAGAAAGAAAAGAAAGAAAGAAAAAAAACAGTCGCACATACACACAGCTGTAAAATACAAGAAAACACAATAATCGTCGGCTCGCTTAGGTGGGCCTCCTTTCAGCCTTTCAGTCTTAGTCGGTATAAGCGACTACGGATCGGAAGCGAGTGCGGATTTTTCGAATGTGTTAGAAATTTTTGTATATTATAGCAATCACTATTATAATTAATTAAAGAATATTTATATAAATAATTAATTTACGAGCATATATTTTTCCGAAACATTTAAAATCGTATTATTAATCGATAACAAGCTTGCTATTAAGCAGTAAAGTAAAGAAAATCTTGAATCTGCTGTAAAATAACAACGCGTCGATAAGATTTAAAAAGAAGAAAAAGATATTAAATATCGTAAAGGAATCGCATAGTTGAGCGCGGGCGTAAAAGTATTCTACGAAAACGCTTTGCTATAAGCTTAATTATTAAAGACGACAATACAATGCTCATTCTAATTCTCGATTCGAAAGAGATTTGATAGATGCAACAACTTCTTAAAGGTCAAATTTTGCGGCCTCGTAAAAAAAGTATTCCTCGACCAACTCTTTCTTAACCCGAACTTTCTTACGATAACGATGATTTGATAATTATAACCGATACTATTAAAGACCCTTTTTTAAAGCAAGATGTTTTTGTTTTTTCTAGTATTAATATCGATAGCGATAGTTTCAATTTTATAATAGTAGAGATTCAAACGATTCGTTGCGTAAGGTAAAAGACGAATCAGATTTTGAAAATAGCAATCGATAGTCAAATGTTATATCAAATAATACGATTTTAAATGTTTCGGAAAAAGATATGCTCGTCAATTAATTATTTATATAAATATTCTTTAATTAATTATAATAGTAATTGCTATAATATATAAGAATTTCTAATACATTCGAAAAATCCGCACTCGCTTCCGATCCGCAGTCGCTTATACCGACTAAGACTGAGAGGCTGAAAGGAGGCCCACCTAAGCGAGCCGACGATTACATACAAAAGGCCAAAAAGGCCAAAAAAAAAAAAAACAACCTGAAAGCTAAAGCTAGCTTACCTACCTACTTACCCACCCACCTACCTACCCATTCACCCACCTAAGTAAGTAAACAAGATAATAGTACCGGTAATCAGCTAACAGACAGCAGACGCGACGGAGAAGGGGAAATACCTATATATATACATATGTACATATACATATATATATGCACGTACATGTATACCTTAGCGGAGCAAGCCGGGATTCTAGAACCGTAAGGCAGACCGTGTAGCAGGTCTACACGGTTGGCCACTATCCTTCAAAACAGCTCGGTTGATAGATTTTAAACCGTGTAGAAGTTTTAAACCGTGTAGATATTTTTAGACCGTGTAAGAGGAGTTAAGCGAGGGCTGCGCTCGAGAGAATAATCCGGGCGGGGCTATTAGTGTGGCTGTGCGCCAAGCTATTACATCTAAATAAAGGCAAGTCTGAATTCAATTAGTAAAGGCTATTTATTATTACCTCTACTTTTGCTAGACTGCCACCTTCACCTTAGCGTTCTCTTTTAAACCCTTTATAATCTTCCAGCTTATAAAATGATATTAGTGATATCGGACCGTAAGGTTGGAAAAAGAAAGAGCCTAAAGACTTAAAGATTAGCTTACTTATATTAAGAAGAAAGAGAAAGAAAAGGAAAAGGAAAAGGAGAAGGAAAGAGAAAAGGAAAAAGAAAGAGAGAAAAGGAAGGAGCTTGAAGGCTAGCGCGTCTATCACTATAAACAATTGATTAGTATGCGTAGCAAACAAAAGAAACAAAAAGAAAGGGGGGGGAGGAGGGGGGGGAGGGAGGTGGCTGGTTTGCCTTATTATTCGGCCAATCCACATTCGAAGGAATGGTTCTTGCAGATGAGCAGACCGAAGGACGGACCGAAGGAGAAAAGACCGAGGAAAGGATCACTTGCTTTTTCGATACTAGCACGTTATTAGTATTCGTTGCAGATAAAATGAAAGAAGATAAAGTAGTTAAGAGTTAAAAGGTGACGCGCTTGATAGTTGTAATAGTTATAATAGTTGAAGTTTTATTAAGAACGCGAAGTTTAAATATATTCAGCTGTGCGCGGCAGAATTAAATTAGTATATCGGAGTTAAAGGTTATTAAAAGGCGGTCTATGCGGTCGCCCTCGCTAACGGTTTCTACACGGTTTAAAATTTCTATACGATCACTGCACGGCCTAAGGCTGCTACATGGCCCGCTACACGGCCTAAGGCTACTACACGGTCAGCTATACGGTTCTAGAATCCCGGCTTGCTCCGCTAAGGTATGTATATCAGTAAGTAAGGGTGAAAGGAGACCCCGCTAAGAGGGCCGACGATTGTAAAATAGATGCGGAGAGAGAGGGAGAGGGAGAGAGAGAGAGGGTAAGTGGACACTGCATGTCGTGGATGGTGGTGCATCGATGATCGATCCGTCGTCCCCTTCCGAGATTTCCGAAAGATTGCGACGTGCTTGCTTTACTGCCGCACTGCACCACCAACACAAATACAGCTGCACAAGGAGACAGTGACGGACCTCCGACCAGCTTCTTGCCTGTTTCTCCAAACACTCGTCCTACTCTCTTACTCTCAAGTGCAACCTCTTGCCAATTTTGTTTTCAATGTAAAGGAATCTTCTGAACCATTTTATTCTTTTCCAGTTCTGTATAGGGACCTGACAGTTGGTATCCATTTCCAACGCAAACAGAACCACACACGAATGTAAATCTAAAGAGAGTGAGTTTTTACGCTACTCTATTAAACGCCGTGTAGCCCTTACTCCCCCACAGCTACCCTTAGCCATTTATCCATTCATCGCCCCGAGATGCGCAACCAGAATGCTGTCTATCTGTCTATCTATCTATCGTTTTTGTGTGTTGATCTCCGCATATACGAAATATGAAGGATGACGTGACTAGCCGTCAGCAAGCAGTGGCAGGTTAGCCAGCTGCGCACTCTGCGACAGGCGCCTCCGGGCATCGAGGTTCCGCGAGCTGGCCATTGCGCTCGCCATCGCGCTCTTCTCCTTGCACTCGTCCGCCTTGGGCGCCTCAACCAGCTTCTTCGGCTGCGTCTCGCCGGCACGGTTGTACAGGTTGCGGAACATGTAGACGCCCGAGCCCTCGGCACCCTCCGTCTCCTCGACGAACTTGCAGCTGCGCTGGTTGCGGAAGAAGGCCGTCCAGAAAGGTGTCTCCAGATCGGAGGCGTAGTGCTTGCCCATCACCCGCTTGATATGCTTGGAGGCCTCGCCGGCGTGGTAGAAGGGGATCGTGGAGATGAGGTGGTGGCAGACATGCGTGCCGATGATGTCGTGGAAGAGGTGCGTGTCGATGAAGCCCAGGTCGCGGTCGATGGTGGCGGTGGCGCCGCGAGCAAAGTTCCAGGTCTTGTTGTCGTAATGGGGCATGGTGGCGTCGGTATGTTGGAGGAAGGTGATGGCCACTAGATTGCCCATGTCAGTATTTCTCTTCTTGTGAGTGAAGCGAGGGACCCACCAATCCAATTGTTAACCCACAGCCACGGGACACCCCATAGCACGATGACGTTCCAGCTGCCGAACATCTGGCCCGCGACAAAGAGTGCAGCAATCATGAGCGCGACACCGGCATCACTCAGCATAATCAGCGGGAGCTCGTGCTTCTTGAAGAACACGCTGTCCTCGCCGTAGTAGAAATGCGAGATCTTGGCTCCCTTTGCACCGTTGTACTTCTGACCCGTCAGGTTGAAGAGAAGGTATCCAGGCCAACCGAACAACTGGTGCACGAGGTCATGCCAGAGAGCAGCGATGGGGGAATCCTCGGCCAGCTCCGCGAACTCCACCATGCTGGCGGAGGCCTTGGCCCCGAACTGCGACTTGATCCACGAGTCTCGGCTGTGTGGCACGAAGGCCGTATCCCGCTCCATGTTGCCCGTCGCCTTGTGGTGCTGGCTGTGGCTCAGTCTCCAGCTGTGGAACGGCACGAGCAGGAAGGAGTGCATGATCAGGCCCATGGTGTAGTTCAGGTGCTTGTTCTTGGAGAAGGCGCCGTGTCCGCACTCATGTGCCAGGATCCAGATGCCGGTGAAGACGAAGCCTTGCACGGTAGTGTACGCTACCCAGGCGGCGAAGCGGAGGTACGGGGACGGCAGCATAGGGATGTAGGTGACGGCCAGGTAGACGAGGACGGAGAGGTAGAAGTAATCGCGCACGACGTACGCCATGGAACGCAGAATGGACGGCTTGAAGCACCAGGCGGGGATGGCATCGTAGATCTCCTTCATGGTGTACTGGGGCAGCTCGAAGACATTGCCGTGGAGATCGAGATGCACTGGTTCAGCAGCGGGTGCCAGACTCGCTTTTGCTTCAGCTCCGGGTTGGGGAGCCATGATGGGGTGATTGGTAGTGGCGGTGGATGGTAGAGATGGTGGTGAGGTGGTGGTGATGGGGGTGGTGAGGTGGTGGTGAGGTGGTGGTGATGGGGTGGTGATGGGGGGTGGTGATGGTGTTGTAGATGGTCGTGATGTGAAAGAGGGAGAGGCGTAAAGAGGGGAAGAGAAGGATGAGAGTGAGAGAGAAGAAATAAATTTGTGATTTTAACATTCGCATCCCGACTAGGTAAGGTAGGTGTTTTGGGCCCCAGTTTTATGCCCCAGTTCTTTCCTCAACCCTTTTTCTCCACTCGGACCATCTCGCTACCAAAGCAACGCATTTTTTTTAGTAAGAACAGACCCGACCGATCAAACCAGATCAAACCAAACAAAAAAAAAACCAAACAAGCCAAGGGGGGGGGGGATCGATCCGGTCCTTCAATTGCACGTCAGCCTCGGCAACCAGGTACGTAGTAGCTATAGATAAGTATAGTTGTAACTCTGTTTAGTAAAGTTCCAGTGTATACTATCCAGCCGTGTCTCTATACCTATTCTACGCAGGTTGTAGTACCGGTAGTATACATCCAGTCCAGTCCAACCAATCCTTCCTTCCCATCGCTTCCATTCCATCCATCCTTCAAAGCTCTGCCCACATGTCAGAACCCAGAAATGCCTCTTTCGCCCTTCCGTGCCCTGCCAAGCCAGGCTGGCATGCACGAAGGGTCTTTGCCTCACTAGTCCCAAACGAGACCCGCTCGGCTTTGAAAATGGGTCGATCCGCCGAGTCCTCGCTTCTCATTGGACCCCTCGATCTCAACAGATAGGGGGCCCTCTGTTCGAGGCTAAGGGGGGTAAGATGGTATGTACGTAGTAGTAGTAGTAGTAGTAGTAGTAGTAGTAGTAGTAGTCGTATTTATATCTACGAGGGAGACATTTCCGGGACGGGCGAACAAAGGGGGAGACGGGTTTGTTTACAAAGTTGGGGAATGGAAGCGGATCTCAGCGACCCGGAAAGAACATGTGCATGGTATGTATGTATTTGCATCTGCATCTGCATTTGTTTCCGGATCTATTTTCATTTGCATGTGAATGAATCAAAAACATCACCCACTACAGTACCTACAGTCGACAGCACTACCTAGACAGATAGGTAGGTGCTTGACCCCTGATCACGGTCCGTTCAAGTTCGCCTGATTAAGATCTCGAAGGCGAATGGTTGGCACTGGGCAGGGTCCTCGCCACGCCACGCCACGCCACGCCACGCCCACCGCCTCAGAGCCAGAACCAGAGCCAGAGCCAGAGCCGCGGGGGGCAAGAGCCCCTCTCTTGGTCCGTGAATCGATTACCTAGTACTAAGTATTACTTTACTTATTTTCGGTGCATCTATCTTCTTCCTGTAACGGCCTTCCGTAACTTCAGCTCGAGATCTACCGTAGGTGGCGATGGACGTTCTCTCTCTTGGGCCAGTGTAACCCATGGCCTTAGGTATTCTCTGACTTCTGCCCAAAGCAATGCTGATCCTGTGCTTGGACACCCTGGAAAGAGATGGGTAACCCCCCGATCCCGCGGACTTGGCGAACTGATGGTCTCCTTCTCGCCGCAAGTCACGACTCTTCTCCTTATCGCCACCGAGATGTACTCCGAAGGTGCGGCGTTCGGTAAAGGCGCCTGCTGCGTGCGGCGGTTTGGTTACACAGCATAGAGGCACTTGACATCCATATGTAAGGTAAGTATGTGCTGGTTCTCCCCCAACCTTTCCTCTCACTGTCAACATAAGATCTACGGTATTCCAAGTAGCCTAATCAGCATTAGCTTTCCGGCATTCAACTACACTGTATATATACAGTACAGTTAATATACCTCTGAGCCAAAGCTACGCCCTCGGGAAAGAAGAAAGAAAAGAAAAAACTCTCTCACACACACACAGCTGTATGATTGACAGTCGCGTTTGAAATGGGAGCAGTTTGGCCTGTTGAATATACATATATACATACATACATATATATTGATCCTGGTCTATGGGTGATCTCAAAGTCAATCGTAGACAAGGTGATCACCCATCTTGCCTGCCGCTTAATCGAATCCTTGTAGTCATAGAATACCTCAGGTTGTTGTGATCTGAGATGATGGTGATCTTGTATTGTGAACCTCCTAGGTAGTGCCTCTAGTATTTTACCGATTCCATGATAGCAAGCAGTTTCTGGTTCACATGTTGCATGATAGACAGGCCTCTTGCCAGGATGAACTTTCTGGAGTAGAAAGTGATTAGATGTAGCTGTCCTACTTTACTACTAGACTATATACCCTAAACCGAAGCAATGCTATATGTAGTATCTACTATCTAATCTGATCTGATATCTTGTGTCTTCTGTCCTCTAATCTAATGTTGAGCTAAATGTAGATCCCGTAAACTGTTAAAGATGCGGTCGGTCACCTGACCTACGGCCGTGACGTTGACTACCTAGGTGCATTTATTCAAGCCTGGGCCATCGAGGACCACCAACAACCTGTCTAACCGCTTATTAATATCGCTTATTAATACAGTAAAAAAAAAGAAAAGGGAATCTTGCAGGCTTAACAAGCCAGATTTGCACTCTTGCAATCGGAATCCACTCTTGGCGGTGAAGAACTACCGTACGTACCTTACGATGATAACCTCTTCTCCTTCCGACCACGTGATCAATCCCTAACTATTAATAAAAAGAGAAACGCTCGAGAAACAGCGGGCTGCAACGCGCTCAAAGGAGCTACTGCTATATATAAGTAGATTAAACGCGTAGAAGATAGTAGTAGCTAGTAGTAGCTGCACCGCGCTAAAAGAAGCTATAAGTTACGTAGTACGTAGTCAATGCTCGAGGAGTAACTGGCTACATCGCCTGAAGAGAAGCTACGTAGTCCTACCGGTACCTACGAAGATTACACGGCGAAGTGCGGAAAACTTACTCCGGAGCGTGCGGAGGGCCGTAGGTTTTAGCCTGCGGCCGGGCTCATGCGTTAGAAGTACATTTTCTCGACATCCTTTGGAAGCGTATTTCTTATACGGTACTACAGTACTACTACTTGGGAAATTGACGTAGGGAGTAGTAGTAGTAGTCCCTAGCCTTAATGCGGAAGGCAGCCTTGCTTCACGACCGGGGCCGAGGCGAGGTCCCCCTACAGTAGCCCTGGAGCTTGCGGGGGGCCGCCAGGGATCAGACCTCGTACAGTAGTGAGTTATGAGTACGTAATTGAAGAAGAGCCCTTGCTTTGCTTTGCTTTGCTTTGCTTTGCTTTGCTTTGCTTTGCTTGGTCGCTTGCTTGCTTCTCTTAGCCTCGCTACTGATAGGTGTGAATCTGTAGGTGAGATTCTGCGCGAAACGTTTCACTTTCCTGCTACCCATGATGTATTCTTCACGGTGCGTACCGGTATACTGAGCAGCAGCAGCAGCAGCATCAACAGCAGCAGCAGCATCAACAGCCAAGATACTCTTGACAGTCCGCCTAAGCGCCGCAAGACTCTACCAAGCGTCAGACCTCTCTCTTCATCTCAACCCCTTTCAGAAGATACATTTATTATACCCGAGCCGACTTACATCGATGAGGTGAAGTTGGGGGCGAAAATGATATGTCGTTTATCGAAGCGGAAAAAGATGCGTGATGATGAAGATCAGGACCTGGCTGATTAGCAGTCATCACGGCTTTATATATAGAAGCCGTTTGTACTGGCTAGAAGCCGTCTGCAGAATCCACATGCGCTTACACACCGGACATACTGAACGTCTCTGACAGCTCTCGACTAGGGAATCCTAGATGAAAATATCACTTGTAATTCAATCTGTATCACCTTATATAATAAGGAAGATATTCAAAAGCCAAGGCCAGTTGCTGGCGCGCTATTCTTGTTTCTATTTTCTTCTTTCATATCGACATTGATTTGTGTTCCGATAATGCATAGGTGGAAACGGTGGCTTATATAATCCTCCCTCCCTTCCTTCCTTTGCATTCTGTGATGCTTCTATGAATTGAAGAAAGAATAATAGTGATCAATACAGAAAAATTGCACGCCTTTAACGAGGGTCTAGATGGATGTGCAAGGCATTTTGGCCTCGTCGTCTATTATGAGTTCTTGGCAGAGACAAGATTTTCGGCCGCTGGGAAATCCTCTTTTCGAGGTCAGGGTGCTCCTTATCTGAGGAAGAAGTCTTCTCGACGTCTGGAAAAGTGCTTTAGTCGGATTTCATGCGTGTACCGGCTATAGCTGATTGTAGGGTTTGATACTTGGCCAGCACGGCGTGTGATCGGTTCGATGCCATGAGTTCGGAATGACTCTCTTGCTCCGATACTTCACCTCGATAGCAGCAACTGGTGACTTGACACAGCTCCGCGATGATAATACTATCGTATTCGTTAGTCGAAAAGACAACAATCTTGTGATGCAAGGTCATGCTGCAGGTACGCAGGAAGAGAGATAGTGGATTCTAACCCATCCTCGTCGCATATAGCCAATACGGTTGAAGCTGAGGTCTCGGTCCCGTCGATCAAATATTGGAGTGATCTCCTAGCGTGCTCGTCTTTATCTTCCCTACCTATGGCCTTAATATGCCCCAGAGATAGAGCGATTTTCCTGACCAAGAGTATTGATATTTTCGCAACGGCATTTGGACATTACCATGGCCAGTACCATGACCAGCTGGATCATGGCAGCATGGGCTTTGGTATTAGCTCGCCGTCCTCAGAAATTAGATATGAATTTTAGCGGAGTGACATTGGGTCGAGGCAGCAATTTGGCGAATGCTGGGAGCCATAGTAAGAGATGTAAAGTTGATATCCAATATCTATATCATAGAAGCATAACAGAGATCCTGTGTTGTAATTGTCCAGGCCGAGACACGAGAAGACCTCGGGCCCTTTTGTGCAAGGTCACCTGACCTTTTGTTCCGTTACGGCGCTATCCTAGTTTAGTTTAGCTCAAAGAGACTCGACTCCCTCTCTCTTTCTCATCACCGTTCCAACAACTTATTAATTTCCAAACCCACCTGGTCCCTCTCGATTCTCTCGATTCTTCCGTTTTGCGTCGACGCATCCATACGTTACCCGATTTCTCCGCAAATTTTTTCATCCCCAGATCCCCAATTCTCGTCCCAATCCAATCCGCTCCAATCCGCTCCAATCCGCTCCAATCCGCTCCGCTCCGCTCCGCTCCACTCCACCAGGCTGAAACAGGCCTCTCTGCATTGCAGCCTCGTCAACGACACTCGGTCGGCACAATCCAGCCCATACTGTATCAGCCTCGCGGCCATCGATATCATCCCATCCCATCTCATCCCATCTCATCATGCCCCCCGGAGCAAGTAACAAAGGTATGGCGTCGTATCTACGGGTCGTCCAGGACCCCTTATCTGACAGATAAAGACCAAATTCTGCAGATCGTAACTGACAAACCCAACTTCAGCCTCAGCCCCCCATGCCAGCGAGGATGAGTCCACGATCAAGGTTGCGCCGACAGCAACCCCCGCCCCCGTTATCAGGAAAGGGCAGATCAAACTGAGAAGACCGCCGCCAAAACAAGACAGACCCGGGGATTGGAAGAATGGGCGTTTAGTCGATGGTGGGCCCCCTCATAACGGAACGCGCCCGATGGTACTCATCATCACAGGTGACAAGAAGAAGGGCGATGATACATCAACCAGCCCCGTTCCCATGTCCCCGGGTCCTATTGTCAATCCCTTGGACGATGATGCGCGATCTACCTTTGAAACAGGCCGACCACTGGACGATATGACCCCGACATTACTATGCAAGCACTGCAAGAAGGGTATCCTGAAGATCAAGATGGGCGATCACTTGAAGGACTGTCTGGAGACTAAGAGAAAGAAGGCGCAGAGGAAGAAGGAACAGAAGGAGGCTCGTGATAAGGAGAAGAGGAATGCCCTTAAGGAAAATGAGAAGGACGAGGAGGGAGACCACAAGATGGCCGAGGATGACGATGACGATGAAGAGGTTGGCGCTGAGAAGAAAGGCCCTGGAGGCTTGAAGTCTACGAAGAAGAGTGCTGGCAAGAAGGCTGAGACCGATGAGACCAAGAAGGGCAAGAAGCGCAAAGCCGAGGGCGATGCCGAGAAGGCTCCCAAGCAGAAGAAGAAGAAAGAAGAGCCCAAGCCTAAGGCCCCGAAGCAAAGAGGTAACCCATATTTCAGTCAATCCACTGCACAGAAACGCAAGGATGTTGACCCAGTGGGCCCCATCGCTGCGAACCATCACCTAGTCTTTCCTCTGCGCTTACGCCAAGGGGATCCTCAACCTTCCTCGTGAAGGCCTGGGGACTCCTTGGAGGCTTGAGAGGGGAGTTTGTTTCGACTTTTTCTGTTTCGATTTTGCGTCTTTGTCTGAGTATTGTTTCTATCTACGCTCTACATCTATAAGTCGTTTATTCTAACGTGGTGCGCCACAAAGGTCCTGTGGATGTTGAGAGGCAGTGCGGAGTCATCAAAGAAGGTACTCCCTGTGCTCGCTCTCTCACCTGCAAAAGTCACTCAATGGGTGCCAAAAGAGCGGTCCCCGGACGCTCTTTGCCTTATGATATGCTTCTCGCCGCCTACCAAAAGAAAAATCAAGCAAAGCAGCAAAGTAAGTACCGATTCGCCGTGCCCGCTCCCACCACCTCCTGACCTCTGCATAGAAGCGGCAATCGACGCCAACGCACCCCTCGAGGATGAGGAAGAAGGGAACGGCCCGGTCGATTCGGACGAAGAGCTCGCAGCCGTCCAACTCGGCCTCGCCAACTGGAATCCCCAACCCGTCGTCCCACCCCTCGAGCTCATGCCGATCGAGCGTCAATACCAAAAAGCACGTCTCCGCGAGCAGATGATGAACGCGACGAACGGGGGTACCGTTGACATCTTCAAAGTCATTAGCCTAGGCGCTCAGAAGTTACCACCTGGCCATCCGCACCTCCTGGAGCTGGCGGCACACGCGCCAGCAGAGTCGGCGGGTCATGATCCGCTGGCGAACGGGATGGATGGCGCAGCTGCGAGGCGTGCTAGTGGGTTCAGCATGTCTCTGCCGGTGCAGAGAAAGCACTCTGGGAATATTCAGCGGCAACCCTAAATGTGGGGTTCAAAACTTGTAAATAGCGATTCCTTGCGCGGTCCATTTTGGACTGCTCTGATGACCTGTCATTGCGAGGCGTCTTGGTGTGCGGCTTGGGATTTGGACTGCTGGGCACGGTGCATTGGGTGGTGGCATGGACGGCGTACACTTGTCCCTCGAGACACAGCGTGACTTCTGCGTTAACGCTTTTGAAATATACCACTTTTCACGCTCACACGAGGAAATGCCAGGCCTGATGCGGATAGCTATGTGAAGAGTACCGCCTCCCCCCACTCGCCCTCGGTAGGTAGTGTCCGCGCGTTGCCGGGAGCGAAAATCGCGAATCATCCAATAGGTACTGCATAACCAAGCACGGCAGCTAAATAAGTACAGGCCCAGCCCTTCCTTCCTTTGTTCCTCCCTCTCTCTCTCCCTCTCTCTCTCTCTCAGTCAGCCCTCTGGCGCAGTGGTCTTGGCGCGGCTCAGTCCAGTCCAGTCCAGTCCGTCAGTCAGCCAGTCAGGAGCGAAGTGGAGCGCGAGCGCGAGCGCGAGCACGCGAACCTGCATTGCATCCTGGGACGTGTCCGGGTCTCCTAGATCTGGGCCGGCGTGGAAAGGATGCAGTGGTTGCTTGCTTGCTTGCTTGCTCGCTTGCTTGCTGTATAGGTATTAGATTCACGTGCAGCACTACTTCTACTTGATGTGAGGAGGAGGAGAAGAAGGCGGACCGGGGTTTGTGATAACTGTGAGGACATCTTTTTTTTGTTTTTTTTTTGTTTTTTTTTTTTTTGGCTGCTCTCGGAGAATGAATGCAGTGCGCGAGGCAAGAGATCGGGGCGGTCCTGTTCAGCCGCAAACATTCTTCCCGGTGATGACATGTGTTCCGTGTGTGTGTTCCTTGCGACCCGATTAGGAAGTCGCTCGGGAGCTCTCACACGGCAAAAGACCACGCACTAAACTAGGCCTGGGATTTCTTCCTCTCCACGAGGGTTTTTACTTCTCACACTTCTTTTTCTTTTC